GAAGAACATGAAATTGTGATAATGTCACACAATGACAGGATCATCGCAAAGTCAAAACGACCAGACAACCCCCCTGAAAAAACTTGCAATTGCAGAACTAAAGCCGACTGCCCCGTACGTGGAAACTGCTTGGTGAAATCAGTCGTCTATAAAGCCACAGTTACCAATGGCAACACAGTAAAGGCCTACATTGGGATTGCTGGCGGATCTTTTAAGGACAGATACCGGAACCACACCAAGTCATTCCGCAACGAAAAATATGAAAAAGAAACAGAGCTTTCGAAATACGTATGGGGCTTGAAGAAAAAAAGTGTAGGTTACACAATACGATGGGACATTCTGAAAAAATCCAACACAAACAGACGTAGATCCGGGCAATGCAATCTGTGTATGGAAGAAAAGCTGGCCATAGCTATGAACAAGAACAATGTAAACAATCGGAGATCGGAACTAATCTCTAAATGCCGTCACAGCGACAATAATAGAAAACCACCGGACCGCAGCAAGAAAAAGTAACCACCCAGCCGTGCAAACGAAGAAGTCCATTCGCCTGATGATTGCCACGCAGTGTGCGTGTGCGTGAAACCAATGGTAGCAGAATAGACTAAACCTATATGTTATTGTATATATACTTGTGCCTCCCGGTATCATATGCAAAGTGAAGTTAAACCACAATGTTTTCTTTCGGATAATACCAGGAAAAAAATCACTTTTTTGAAAAGGCTTATACATTTTTGGGCGATCAGCAATTTTGCATTTGACCAATTTTGTTCTGAAGTCGGTATCGTAATTTCTTTTTTCCATCCAAACCAATCAAATGTTGTGGGGTCGCACTTTATTGCTTTAAAAAAGGGTCAGTTGGGTGACTCAAACCAAAGGAATTTTTTATATCCTGACAATGGTTTGTAACAGTTTTGTAATAATTCTGGCTCTTTCATATCACTTTCTTACATTTGTATTACCGTAATTTCCTGCGGATAAGGCGCGCGGTGGATAAGGCGCAGGTCCCTAAAATCACCCCCCAAAAAATTAAAACGCCAACAGATAAGGCGCACCGCCGCATAAGACGCATGTTTGACCGCACACAGAAGAACACCAGGCGTCACCCGGTGTCGGTACATCGCCACAAAGGGGCCATTGTGTTGCCTTAGAACGATCACACTATTCGGAGGATGAATTAAGCCGTATCCGCACTGGACCTTTTTTTTTGGAAGGTTTTACTGAGACGATAGTAAAATGAGAAATGGTCAAATGTGACCACTGTCGGCACTTGGACTTTCGACACAGGAAAATTTACCCAGACCACGTGGGAGAAGTAACCGAGCTGTCACAGTGTCAGTATAAATAATTACTCACCGTACACAGAAAACAAATTGCCGATCACATTTTCAGCCGCCAATACGCACAGTAATATTACACACGCCATTTGCATGCACAACATAATCGTTTACACGATATTATTTCATCTTGACACGCTAAATCTTGACGAAAAGGCCTGTAATTCTGACGCATTTGTGATGCACGTCGTCGAAGCCATGGTTCGACGGTTCCCATTGCATGCTTACAGAATCGAAGCTATGATGTGGGCCAGGAACCAGTGACTACGGCCTACGTACGGTACGGGACCATGATGTTCCGTGCATGACTACAGTAGCGTATCAGGACGAATTTGGATCGTAGAAAATAACATACATCGGTGGAGAAAGAGAATTTCCGCAAATTAATTCTCAGAACGTGATCTCTCTTCTCTGTGTATGTATTTGTCCATTGAAATATATATTTTAACGAGATTTTACCGCTCGGACTTGATGATACACCGCAGCGTGTTTCTACAAAATGTTCGGACACACGTGCACTGAGGTTCGTGCGGTCTCTGTATGCATAACATGGCGCTCGTGCCGGAAGTACATGTACGCTTTCCTGAGCCGCTTTTACCGACTCGCACTGTTTTCATCTTGATCTTCAGGCTTGCAGAAAAAAACAACCGCACACCTTTGAGCAACACCAAAATGCGGTGAATGGAGGAACCTTGTTGACTTCGGTTTCAAAATGATGCCGATTGTCATGTTGACATTAGTACTTCATATTATCCTAAGTCTAAAGCAGACTTCGAAGATATCCTGTACAATAAACACCCTCAACGTTCACACAATAGAACTTGAGTGAATGCGATTTCCAAACGTTTAAGTAATTCTGATTGCAGCATTTTCGGAATGAAAAAACGGCCACAAAGAAAAACGTTTGTATGGCGGCATTGTTGGAACGAAAGCACGATCACTAAGGGGGATCAACGCATTGCGGCATTGTTGGAATGAAAGCACGATCATGGGGGATCAACACATCGCGGCATTGTTGGAATGAAAATACGGTCACAATGTCTGGAGAGTTGAGCCTTGGTTGACCGCATTATTGATTGCGGCATTGAAAGAATTCTTCACACAAAGACCGTCACTTTGAACTCAAGCGACACCAGATAAGGCGCACCTGTAGATAAGGCGCAGCGATGTTTTTGTGGTCTAGAAAGTCAGATAAGACGCGTCTTATCCGCAGGAAATTACGGTAAGTACGAAAATAAAATGAGGATTCTCTTTTGTTTCTTAGTTAGAATATAGACTCTTAGTGTATTTGGTTTGGCCTGTAGAATTTCTTAATTTGATTTGGTCCGGCCGAGTGGCCTTAGAATAAATGGTTCTCCATTAATGTACCCGTCTCCTTATTTTTGTGTGGTTCATTTATGGTTGAACGTTCACAATCTTCACTTAAGCATGTGCAAAACTACCAAAGAGTCCATATTTCATAAATTCCAAAATTCCGACTACACCATTCTGCACACAATGCCAATCTTCATACTGTATGTATAAGAAAATGTTAACTACTACTCGCGAGAGGCACATACATGTACATGTACCATAACATAGGTAAAGGTGTCTTTCACAAAACATGAAGTAAAACAGTTTCACAAAATCGATGGAAATTTATAATTTGGACTTGTTTTGACTTTTTGACTCCAAGATATTCATGAATGTGAATAAAAATGTGCTTGGCTGGATTGAAATAAGAACTTTTAACTCTTTCAGTGCCCGCGACATTTCAAAAGTTTAACCCTAAAGCGCCCAACTTCGAGCTTTTTTGTTAATTATTCAAAATTCTATAAAAAAAAAAGTAAATAAGTTGTAATCACCAAACTTGTTGTATCTTGCTCTCTGGTGTATTCTTGTTACCTTCAAAAGTCAATATTAGTCATGCATCTAGTAATAAACCCTGAAACACTCTCCTGAACACAGGGGAATTCCGCACTTTTGCAGAATATACGTGTGTCGCGTCGGATACACCTCCTCATACAAACTCTGTTCATTATCATATTGCCATGATTGTCACTTTTAGCACCGTCATTATCATTTGTACCGGCATCCCAATGTTCGTCTTCTGACTCACCATCCAGTTCTGAAATATCCATGGATTATTCTGAATCAGAAAAGTAATTCCTTACCCTGTCCAAATCGGCGAAAAAAATACACTGATTTTCTCTGGAGATAACACGCGAGCTCGGTTTATGGGCGCCGCCATTTTGTCAACAAATCGAAACTCAGTGTGACGCCCTCTCACAAGAACTCGAATATAAAAATAAATACAGGTCGTACATGCATATAATTGGTACCATTAGAAAGAGCGAGAGCGCCCCCTTTTGATAACATGTTATTCTACCTCGTACATGTACGAGGTTTGGCGATTTTAAGCACGAACATTACCTCGTACATGTACGAGGTTGGCGCTTTTGGACTAACAAATATACCTCGTACATGTACGAGTTTGGCACTGAAAGAGTTAAAAACCAGCTTAGGTCCTGGTCGCTGATTATTAATGTCCCTCAGCGTGTCCAGGCAAAAACCGGTTTTCAACGTCCTGTATAAAACCAGATAATCAAAAACCAAAAGTCCTCCACAGATTTTACAAGCATTTACTTAATGGACAGTCTCTTTCTATGGTACGTGTGGTGTACTCAAACCTGTTCCCTATGTACATGTACCAGTACTAGAAGATCATAAGAACTGTTCTTCAGTACTAAGCTATAACCGGTGTGGGTGGCATGCCTTGCATGCATGTAGCACAGAGTCAAGGGTCATGCAACAGAGTTTACATGTCACCTTTTAATCACAAAGCAGGTTTTAAAAGGGATCATATTTGGACAACTGCAACCCTCCGAAAAAAAGGTACCTTCAATGTTTAGCATGAACAGTTCACGTTATGAGCAGACTGGCTCCAGGCCGTACATTGCCAATACTTATTGTGGGACAAGAACCAGGCAGCCTACCCAGCAAGAACTGCATTATAGTCTGGCGGCCAATAATTTGGAATGGTAAAGCACTGTTTCAGTAACTATACATGGCCTATTTTTTTCTGTCGAGGTCTGATTCAAAAGTGAATAACTTTCATGTTGCTACAATAATGAAAAGTTAGAAAGGAATTTATTTTTCGAGAAGAAAGTTGAAAATAGTACAAGGACCGCAACCTTAACAATGCACCCCCATAGATTTTACTCACTTTCTTTCAGGGGTTTCTGATTACGTAGGCCAAAATCAAAACAAATGTACCATTTAAATTTGAAACTACTATGTGGAAGGCGTAAAGTCCATTTTCATAGCAAAGATGCTGTTGTATATACCAAGTCACACTTGTAGGCAAATTGGATGTTGTGATCACATGTGCCTACTTTCAGCAGACTGTACTTTTCTTGCTGCATGTGTATCACTTGAAATATTAATTGGATTTTAAAGTGTTGCAATGAAGTATTGAATATGGGCTACATCATGAAAAATATGACTGAATGATCAGTTGTCTGTCGATAATCTGTCAATAATTTGTTTGGCTACGCATGGGAAAAAAGGTGACCAAAAACAAATACCTTGTGATGCCCTCTCAGCCTATCAACAATACACAATCTGTGCTTAAGGTGTTGAAAAATGAAACTTGCAGGAACCTCAAAGTTCTTGCTTTCTTACGCTTCAAGCTCCTGCTTCATCTTAGTGAACTCTTCCTTGGTCATTGTGCCTTCACCATCTCCAAGTCTCTGGAGTTTTTCCCTGGAAGCATCAAAGTCTGGTCTTGGAGGGGCAGGAGGAATCTTAACAGAAACAAGAAAAGTAGTGTTAAAAAACACAAATGCCCCGCAACCATGCCCATTTCCATCACATAACACCACTCCATTAACATCAACTTACCTGGGTCACATGGAACGTTCATCGACATCGTGATTGTTTTCTTTAGGCTATGATCCCAAAATGAATTTTTGGCTGTTTCGGCAACCGGCCGAAACAGCCTTTGTTTTCGTTAAAGTTTTTTGGTTTTTTTTCTTCTTTTTTTATTGGCTTTTTCGCAAATTTGCGAAAAAGCCTTTGTTTTTGTTCTAATTTTTTTTTTGGCTTTTTCGCAATTTTGCGAAAAAGCCTTTCTTTTTGTTCTGATTTTTGGCTTTTCCGCAAAGTTGCGGAAAAGCCTTTGTTTTTGTTCTCTTTTTTTTTTTTTTTTTTTGGCTTTTCCGCAAAGTTGCGGAAAAGCCTTTGTTTTTGTTCTCATTTTTTTTTGTTTTTGTTTTGGCTTCTCCTTTTTGTCGCTCAAACCCCATAGACTTTGTGCACGTTTTTTCTCAACGCCACTTTTGGCATTAATCGTTGTCATACATCATTCAAAGTTAGCATAAGCATAGTCCCTATAGCAAAGATGTGTCCCGAAGATTGACGTCATGGTGACGTCATCGACTAATTTATTATAGATTTTTGAATATTTAATTTTTCCCATAGACTTTGTACACAGAAATTTAAAAAAAATTGTCGATTTGCAAAGGGCATTTTTGACTCTTTGCCAGTAGTTCGTTTACACCAATCTTTGTCCAAGCGAAGACCCTAATTTAAACAACATTGTGTAATGATGACGTCATGATGACGTCATCAGGTGTGTATTTATAGGCAATGAAATTGTGACACTTTTAATATTCAAAAATACATAAGGAATCAACCATACGCGTCCGCAGCATTTTGTTGCCGGCAAGTGGTAGAATAGGTTGAGGTCTTTATTTCATTCAGTGTGCGTGAAATCATGTGACCCTTGCTTCCGGTCGAAAAAGGCCAAAACCAAAAGTGGCTTATCATTTGAAAGTGGTAATAGATATAAACTTGCTTTAAACGGTGTTAGTCTCTTGGCCAATAGTATTCTTTAAATCATCAACCGATGACGTCATGCAATCTTCGAGCGCCCTCTAGCGACAGGTTGAAAATTAGCAAAAATGTATTTTGAATAGATGTCTGTGGCGAAGTTTGTCGTAATCGCCTAAATATTGGTGTATATGATGACCTTGACCCACTTAAGACGTGTGCGAAGTTTTAGGCAAATGACGTCATCAGACCGGAAGTTTACAATAAAAAGACCCTTTTTCATTTGAAAATTCCTGAAAAATCAACCATGGCAGTTTTTATATTTGTTTTTACTTTAATTGTCGATTGAAGAGTAGGTCTAAAACATTTCAAAGTTTCGAGGCGATAAGCAAACTCGAACATACCCTGCGCACGCTTAAAACTTCACGTTGACAATACCTCTGCTTCAAAACATGCACAGGACAGGACGTCCACAATGTACATGTACATGTACATGCACGTACGTTGTACATAGGCACATACATCGTATGTCAGTCAGCCTGCAGCGCACGTGTTGCTAAGGTCAAATCCTGTCCACAGTGACCGTTTTAGCCGATTTTCGGCTAACTTTGACAGATTTTATGTTCATGCATGCGCATAGACAGGGACGTATTATAGCACTCTTGGCATTAGTCTTTTTCAGACATCATTGAAAGTTGGCATAAGCATAGTCCCTATAGCCAAGATGTGTCCCAAAGAGTGACGTCATGATGACGTCATCAAGTGATTTATTATGGATTTATGAATAATTAATTTTTCTCATAGACTTTGTACACAGCTTTCTCCACAAGTCTTTCCCTATACAACACTGATATATCTTACTGAGTAGTTCTGAACTTCGGCTGAGAATTACTATGAGAAGGAAAAAGAAATCGTATTTTTTTACGCCTGTCATTTGATTGGAAATATTCCCAAGAGTTAGAATAGCAAGTGATATTTTATAAAAATGTTTCAGTTTAAAGGAAAATCACTAATTTAAAGGTGCAGTTTTTCTGGTGTGGGATTTTTAACCTATTGACTTTGTACACGTTTTCAAGCCACCATTTTCATAACTTGGCGATCTGGAATCGTCATCAAAGTTACAGCCAAGAAAGACCCTCATACAAAAATTACGCCAAGACTATGACATCATGATGACGTCATCATCAAATGATTTATTATGGATTCATGAATAATTAATTTTTCTCATAGACTTTGTACACAGCTTTCTCCACAAGTCTTTTCCTATACAACACTGATATATCTTACTGAGTAGTTCTGAACTTCGGCTGAGAATTACTATGAGAAGGAAAAAGAAATCGTGTTTTGTTACGCCTGTCATTTGATTGAAAATATTCCCAAGAGTCAGAATATCAAGTAATATTTGATAAAAATGTTTCAGTTTAAAGGCAAATCACGTATTTAAAGGTGCAGTTTTTCTGCTGTTGGATTTTTTAATTTGTACGCGTTTTCAAGCCACCATTTTTATAACTTGGTGATCTGGAATCGTCATCAAAGTTACAGCCAAGGAAGATCCTCATACAAAAATTCCGCCTAGACTATGACGTCACGATGACGTCATCACCTAATTTTTTATTGATTTTTGAAAATGTACGTACATATTGTGAAGTCTTATATCTACAGAAATGTAAGTCCGATTGGGTTGAAACTTGGTATGTGGCTGTACCAGGATGTGTTATAGATTAAAAATGAGGTGACGTCATGATGACGTCATCCTGAGTTATTATATGAATATTTATTTGTTTGGACCTTTTAGCCATATCTCCCGAACGCAACATGCAAAATGCAAAATTCTTTTGACAGATTTTATGTTCATGAATATTCAGGGCATATTATTGATTAAAAAAAATAATAATGCGGAAAAGCCCTATGTTCTGTTGCAAACAGACATAGACCTCTAGTTTTTTTTTGGCTTCTTCTTTTTGTCGCCTAAATCCCATAGACTTTGTGCACGTTTTTTCTCAACGCCACTTTTGGCATTCATCTTTGTCATACATCATTCAAAGTTAGCATCAGCATAGTCCCTATAGCAAAGATGTGTCCCGAAGATTGACGTCATGGTGACGTCATCAACTAATTTATTATAGATTTTTGAATATTTAATTTTTCCCATAGACTTTGTACACAGAAGATTAAAAAAAATTGTCGATTTGCAAAGGGCATTTTTGACTCTTTGCCAGTAATTCATTTACACCAATCTTTGTCTAAGCAAAGACCCTAATTTAAACAACATTGTGTAATGATGACGTCATGATGACGTCATCAGGTGTGTATTTATAGGCAATTAAATTGTGACACTTTAAATATTCAAAAATGCATAAGAAATCAACCGTACGCGTCCGCAGCATTTTGTTGCCGGCAAGTGGTAGAATAGGTTGAGATCTTTATTTTATTCAGTGTGCGTGAAATCACGTGACCCTTGCTTCCGGTCGAAAAAGGCCCAAACCGGAAGTGGCTTATCATTTGAAAGTGGTAATAGATATAAACTTGCTTTTAACGGTGTTAGTCTCTTGGCCAATAGTATTCTTCAAATCATCTACCGATGACGTCATGCAATCTTCGAGCGCCCTCTAGCGACGGGTTGAAAATTAGCAAAAATGTATTTTGAATAGATGTCTGTGGCGAAGTTTGTCGTAATCGCCTTAATATTGGTGTATATGATGACCTTGACCCACTTAAGACGTGTGCGAAGTTTTAGGCAAATGACGTCATCAGACCGGAAGTTACAATAAAAAGACCCTTTTTTTATTTGAAAATTCCTGAAAAATCAACCATGGCAGTTTTTATATTTGTTTTTACTTTAATTGTCGATTGAAGGGTAGGTCTAAAACATTTCAAAGTTTCGAGGCGATAAGCAAACTCGAACATACCCTGTGCACGCTTAAAACTTCACGTTGACAATACTTCTGCTTCAAAACATGCACAGGACAGGACGTCCACAATGTACATGTACATGTACATGCACGTACGTTGTACATAGGCACGTACATCGTATGTCAGTCAGCCTGCAGCGCACATGTTGCTGTGGTCAAATCCTGTCCACAGTGACCGTTTTAGCCGATTTTCGGCTAACTTTGACAGATTTTATGTTCATGCATGCGCATAGACATGGACGTATTATAGCACTCTTGGCATTAATCTTTTTCAGATATCATTGAAAGTTGCCATAAGCATAGTCCCTATAGCCAAGACGTGTCCCGAAGAGTGACGTCATGGTGACGTCATCAAGTGATTTATTATGGATTTATGAATAATTAATTTTTCTCATAGACTTTGTACACAGCTTTCTCCACAAGTCTTTCCCTATACAACACTGATATATCTTACTGAGTAGTTCTGAACTTCGGCTGAGAATTACTATGAGAAGGAAAAAGAAATCGTATTTTTTTTTACGTCTTTCATTTGATTGAAAATATTCCCAAGAGTTAGAATAGCAAGTAATATTTTATGAAAATGTTTCAGTTTAAAGGAAAATCACGCATTTAAAGGTGCAGTTTTTCTGCTGTGGGATTTTTAACCTATTGACTTTGTACACGATATTTTGGCGATCTGGAATCGTCATCAAAGTTACAGCCAAGAAAGACCCTCATACAAAAATTATGCCAAGACTATGACTCACGATGACGTCATCACCTAATTCTTTATTGATTTTTGAAAATTTACGTACATATTGTGAAGTCTTATATCTACAGAAATGTAAGTCCGATTGGGTTGAAACTTGGTATGTGGCTATACCAGGATGTGTTATAGATTAAAAATGAGGTGACGTCATGATGACGTCATCCTGAGATTTTATATGAATATTTATTTGTTTGGACTTTTAGCCATATCTCCCGAACGCAACATGCAAAATGCAAAATTCTTTTTTGCATTTGGTCTGTTATGTAATAGCTATTTGCACAAAACTTGAAAAAAAATGTGTGACGTCATCATG